TCTTGTTACAGAAACAATCCTTGATTTTCAAGGTAGAACATGTTCAAAACTCATGGAATTTTGGCCTTCAGTTCATGGTCGAATTACATTCTTTTGTAGTCCTACTTGTAATGTAAGGCTTTTAAGATAGGAGGAAAATCTCTAAGAAGCAAGAGAAGAGCTGTGCCGTGACGAGCATCAAAGCGATACCGTGTGTCGGCTTGCATTCATCCATCTCTACGGGTCACCTCTCATTGGTCTCTGATCCGCCATTGGTCTCATATTTCCCCTTCCTGATTGCACAGCATCTCCAAGACATCCATATTGATTCTTGACGAAGATGAGTCGCACAGACCCCGAGCGGGGGTATGAATGCATAGCTAGACTTATTGGTAATACAGACGCTGGATAAGTAGGATAAAAAGATATGGGTTTGGGTATTGATTTCAGAGGCGGTTTCCCAGAAGACGGGACATGAATGAAAGACATAAGGATGCATTAGTAGTCAGGGGTAGTAAAGTAGTACATGTGTACAGAAAAAGTAGGCCATGTTACTGCAGAACCACTTTAATCATGGCTAAAAGCAAAATTCACTCTTCGTCCTGCCTTCATCTGAAGTATTTGCCTCTGCACTACAAATACACGGAAGACTAAATAAATCAAATTCTATTCAATAATGCAAATGCATCTAGGTCTTGCAGGCTGCAATTTATACTCTACAGACTATTTTTAGAAAGCAAAAAAACGCAGTTTTCCCAAGCTATCGTGTTGTCCTCTTCAACTAATCAAAACAAGCCTGGTTGTTGTCTCTAGTGACTCTCCCCGTGTGACCTTGGTCGGTCATCCTTCACCTGACGTTAGGGTCATCGTCGAGTGAGAAGCCAGACCAGCTGTGACGTCTTGCATTTTCATCTTATGAAAAGTTTTGCATCTCATCTACTCATCCGCGACATGCGTGAACTTCTTGAAATGTCAGAGGACATCTCAGCGCAACACAAGACCAGTAGAAGTCAAGATGATAAATGGTGTAGTTGGTAAATTCCTGAAAGATCAAGGCAAAGTGAGACTGAGTATTGGACACAGATGTTGCCTGGCCCATATTATGTCATTCTTAGTCCAGGACGATCAAAACTTATTGTCAACTTTAAATCACGGTTGTATAAAAAGCTCCGACTTGTAATCTTGATGACAATTTTCCTTCGTCAATTTTCTTTTACCGATAATCAACGTTCTAGTTCCTCTCCACTGGCCACTTGGATGTAAAAACGGGCGAAAAAAACTTAATCGGCTTGTTCAGGTTGTAATAGAATGGTTCAGGTTGTATTTCGAAGAGGCGCACTACGTGACTCTGCCGGGTTTTTTTTAGACATGCAGCCAGCAAAAGGGCCCTGTCCCCTGCAATTTCACATCCGGCAGGAATTTGTCAACTTGCAACAGAATGGACCGCCTGCAGCCAAGCGTGCGCATCGGTGGAGTATCACATCCGCACTCCGGAGCCCTCCAGGCACCGCGCCATCCACAGGGGGGACTTGTACCGTACCAGCGACGCGCTAGACCCTCCAGCTTGTCACAGTCTTTCCACGGTGACTGATACTTGTCCGTGAAGGTATCCAAGGGGAAAATGTCTCAGCTTTCATGAATATTGCCCACGGGTGGTTCGGGTGCCTCTTCGGGCTTAGTAAAGTTCGGCGGCACGTCACTTTCATGCAATTGATTGCAGCGATGATCTTCTGACCACTGGAGTGTCTTTAATTCAGAAGGTTTCTTCCTTTGCTGTTTGTGAAGTCTTCAGAATAGACACTTAGGAATCCTTCCAAAAATAGCCAGCCATCAATTTGAACAACTGTAGAAGACAGTGTAAACAATCCACGATCACCAATAACATATTCCACACACTGTAATACAGAATAATTCGAAGTGGTCTTATTACGCGAGACTCTGGAGATGATTCGTCTTTAAGATTTCCCAATCAGAATGATTAAAAATATTAATATCCGGACATAACAAGCTGGGAAGACAATCCATTATCCCTGAAGACAGGTGCATGGCTCCTGCCTCCCGCCTTAATAATCAATTCAAAACTCAGTTGCCTATCCCAATGCTAATAAATAGTTCATTTTAACTTTCATTATAATTATCTGTGTCCTGTTTTTGAACAACGAGTTTTATGAATTTCATCGTTCTACCCATCAGCGACCAGCGTGTCCACTGCAAAACCAATTATGATTCACAAATGTCACACATCGATGATGCCAAATCTCCGCTCATCTCCAAAACAAAGACAGCTGATTCTCCCCCCCCCCCTTCTCGTGATTTGTTTTTCCCGCATTCGTCCAGACACCGAACATGTAAATTAATTTCCCTACTGCTCCCGGACTTAAGCGGCTGGTTGGCGAGTAATAACCCCGTAGAGACCCGTGCATCTCCCCCGATCAGAGAGAGAAAGGCCCGCGTGTGATGCAACTGCTGCTCGCTAATTACGATCAGAATCCTCAGGGCATGCCTCAGGCTCCTACCTTCTTTATCTCATCGTTCTCAGTTGAAGCGCATCAGCTAGTGTCTTTAATCTCCAGTTTTAATTCCCAGCTTTTGGCTTCGCGAAGCATCCGTGACGGGAGCCGTCATCAGAGGGGAAATATATCCATGGGACAATAGGGAGAGCAGCGGCTCAGGACGGGAGTTGAAATTGGTTAAAGGGGCAGTATGGACCTAATAGAAAGACTCGTCTTCATACTTGATATCAAATGTTATTTGAATGAATGACCAGTGCCTCATCGAGTCTCAAGCCAAACTAAGATGGGTAATGAGAAAACTTGAAGTTTTGGACATCGTGATATGGGTCCCCAACATCTTAACTGTCAGCAGTTTGGATCTCAAGAATTCTGATATTTATATTCATTTCAATAATGGCATTTGCTGACACAGCGAATCTAATAGTGTGGTCACAAAAGCTTCACAAGCTATCTTTAACACACCCTCGAGGGAAGATGCTAATTTTCGTGGTCATCAGGCAGGGGAACCTTACCAACTGGACGGGGGATTTAAAGGTGCCGTTTCAGCTTCAAGCTGGCTAATTCAAGCGGTCAGCTGTCTAGCTCTAAACACGACCATGAGTAGGAAATTACTGCACCTGATTCACCCCAGCATCGTGACGAGTCCCAATCGATTAGCGCACCCATCTATCAAACGCACCTGAACTGTAGTCGGTGCATGGGAGCGCAGTCTTCTCGTGACATGTCTATAACTCTCTCCATGACGTCAGAGGTTCCCTATATCAAAGCTGTGGTATTAACCCAGGAGCAAGCCTACTGCATCATCATCGTGAGTGCAGGGATGCTAATCGGCGCTGCCTTAATCACGGCGAGCGTCAATGATGAAACACGGTGTCTTCGACGATATCTAAGATGATATACATGAAACATGATGAGTGGTCTGCAATCACAACCATGCTGCAAATCATGAGGCATGCAGACTGCATCTTTAGGTCTGTGCTGAGACACACAATGTATCATTCATCATCTTCATCCCCAGTCCTCCTCATTTCTCACGCGCAACCCGATAGCCATGGGTTCATCTTATGCTGAAAAGCTTCGGAAACAGTCCGACGGTTTGGGGCCATCTTATTGTACCATCTATACACATACCCTTCTCGGTGATAAAACCATTGCTTGACTTGTTTTGAACTTGAAGGCAGATCAGAATCCTGCGTGGCTTAAAATATCCACCGCAATAACAAGACAAAGTTAACCAATTAAAGTAAAGCAAACGAAGTATAATTTTTTTCCTATAAATATTGACTCAAATCCTCATCCCTTACTTATGCTGTTGACTTATCAACCGAACAGGCATGTGAAAGTGCTAAAATATCCCGGGGTCTTCAAGAAGTCGCAAGGAAAACAAATTCAGCGTGAATAATCCTATCAATCTTGATTCAGTAATGTTTAATTTATGATTGCATTGCCGCTTCAACCGAGCGTATTAGGTTCAACACAGGACCGAAATGCAATAAAGGCCCTCAGTTTACACAAACACTGTCTGCTTTTGCATAAAAGAAAACTCATTTTGGCGCAGGTTCATTTAGAAAATACAGATGAAATCCTACCTCTCTGACATTTCGCAGAGCTACGGCACATGAATTGCAGATTTCAAAGTTGCAAAACTGACAAAAAACCCGCACTGATTGACAGGCTTGTTATCTCAAGTGCCGTATTCTTTTCACAACGCGTCTCTATTTGCACATCTTTGAAACGAGCTCAAGCATAATATTCATGTTATTCCCAAACATTCCAGCAAAGCTGCGATCAAATCACAGCTTGAAAAAAAGGACAAATGCTGGTATTTGGATTGAGGGCCTGTAAAAACGAATGTCATGTGAACCTCGCCAAACAAAATTTACCTTACAAAGACAAAATTAGACACAAGTCAATCACTCTAACACCGACGGGATAGTCTCGGGACTAATTGCCTTGGTATAAAACATTCATACAGTCAAATATGAGTAGTCTATTAGGTTACTGACCTGAGGTCACAAGAGCCAGTATTAGTCGTCAAACATTGTCATATGACGTCACAATTTTTGAATATGCACTCTATATCCAATATTGTCAATCAGTGCATGAGTGGTTTCAATACCAGAGAAAGTAACCGCACGGGTACATTCTCCTTACCGACTTCAAACAAGACAGTGATACATTAGCTTCCAAGCGTGTTATGACGTCGTTTGTATATTATTCTGTATCTGTATCATATGGTCAGCAAAGCATCCCAGGGGAAACATCACACCAGCTTAGAGAGAAAACAACTTAATGAGAAGAAATTACAGGTTTAGAGGTGAGAGGAAAAGCCCAGAAGATATTCTGGGGAAAACCCACGGAATCAGGTAGGGACTGAAAACACAATCCACATATTGACCCAAGGATGCCAGGCGGGATTCGAGCCCGGGTCACAGCGGTGGAAGGCGAGGAAATTATCGCTATATCACCCTTTAATCATTGTCTGTTTGTACTTTATCGTACCCACAGAAAAGAGGCGGTGGTTGAGGTTGACGGGCATTTCCTAACTCGTCTGGTCTACGATGACATGAAGACATATGATCTGGTTACAGCTGCTGTTCATGTCCTTGGTAACGTATCAACTGTTGTTGTCTTAGTAACATGATACAGAGCATGCTCCCATGATTACTTGAAGATTTGGTATCCGCAAGTCTCTTTAGGCAGAAAGCTCATACATAAATTTGGATGCTATGGATGGAGATGGCTCTCAAGATATTTCTGTAGGTTTTCTGAAAGCTTCCATTAATCCAGATGAGCCAAAGTTAACGTCACAACACTGTCCTTTCTATAAACGAATCCTAACTACTTCCTATAAACCCTTCCCCTAAATGTTTATCATTACGTGTCATTCCCCATTCAAAAAAAGAAATTATCATAACGAGTCAAAGCCTGTCACTGACAAAACACATGGGTAATTGTTCCACTCAACGAACTTGAGAAAATGCCATTGATTTCCTGTCATTTGTTGTATTCATATGCATAACTGCTGACTGGTTTTAATGTCAATGACCTGGGCACTTCACGGCTGAATGCTTGGTATAAAAGTGCATTGAATGGTGCACCATAAGAATCTTATATGAATTGTCTAGAGGTATATAGGGAAGACGGCACGCACGTGGAGTGTTGTTACTGTAAACACCACGCGTACATACAGAGTTGAGGACCTCACAGCAATCGATTCATGAGCAACTCATGTTGTTTTTTCATCATTACGAGTCTTCACTTCCATTATTACGCTAGTTCGGACCTTCATTAATAACCGGAGGCAAATCCTTCTCTTTTTTGGTTGATAAGCAAAAAAGCCTAGAAAACAGCTTACCAGCTGAGATTTTGATAACAACTGCCTTTGGCGGGTTCTCATTTTATGAGCAATCCTAATCCATTTGGTATGCTTGGCTTTCTGAACATCTTCAGTTAACAAAAGCCGGAATTTTTGTTTATGTGCAAAGAAAAATAGGTCAAAAACTTGCTTTAACTATTTTCGGCCCCAATTGATTGATGTCGCTGTTCTTTGATTCTCATATCGCGTAATGGAATTGACAGCGCACGACATAAGTGTCGCTTGAATTTGTAATTGAATTGTTTGGTGAATGTAACTTAATTAAGGGACTCGGCATCACACGGAACACGTGTTAGATTCGTCTCTTACTGAAACCTTGCTCTTTTGTTGCACGTTTATTCATCATGCAACGCAGACTGTAGCCATATTTGTCTTGCTCCCTGTATCCAACATTGACATTTAATCTGAGCATCCGAGGAACCACACTTTAATTTAAGGTACCAAATTATAATTTAAGACACCAAAATAAACTGGATGAAATTATTACATGTTTGTTTAGCGCAAAATGCTCAATACAAGTACACACAGCAAACAACGGTTAGCCATTTCAAAGTAAAATAGAAGAAGAAATACTTAGCTAAGAAGCGATTGTATATGATATTACACTTGACGTTTAATTAAAGGGCACATGAAATGTAATTTGTGTTAATGCAATCCTTGAAAATGCACCTTTGTGTCCCTTTAACCTTATTTTCAATTTTCATTTTGCCATTTTCAAGGGTAATTTGGTGCCTTTTAGGTTTTTAGGCTAATGCAAATTTCCATATTCATGTGCAAAAGTGTGATGTCATATCAGGCAGAAACCTCAATGTTGAAATTAGTTTATGCACAAAAAGTTTACAAAATTTTGATATTTCGCTGTCGTAAACTTTCTTTTTATTAGTGATTCGTTGTTGTGTCAGTTCAGGGCAGTAAGCCAATGAGCAAACTTTTCTCACAAATGTTTTCAATGAGCATTATTTTGGGTTCACTATTTCAACAAAAAAAAACACCTAATATGAACAGTGTCTCCCTGAAATGACATCACGACAACATCGCCCTCAGTTGTCCGGAAAAGCATGGACAATTTTAAATGTTTAAAGAAGAGCAGTTTTCAGTAAAAATTTACCAAAAAGGAATATCAATTAGTCTTCATACACTTCAGAGGATTAGAAAGTAGCGCAATATATGTTCCTAAGAAATATGCACTTCATAAGTCCTTTAAGCCCAAGCCATTTGTCATTATCCCTGTGGAAATCATAGCGTAGTCAAATGCGCAAGATGTCTGTAGACAAATGTTCCTCCGCTTGTGCGCACTCCAAGCAGGGTATTGCTAATAAAACCAGATACCTAAACACTATATGGCTGCCATTTCCCGCACCTCAATTAAATTTGTGCTTGCCATCGTGCAAGTCCCAGGCACCTGACACAGGGATCTCTCTCAATCAATCATGTACCTGCTGGTCATCATAGACAGCCAAGGACAACTTAAATCAGCTACCGTCGGCTCCAATCAAGAGGATAGCATATAAGCTGATCAGGGAGAAAACAAATACATGGGAGACAAGATAGGAGTAATATGATCAGGCAATTAGCCATACAGTGTGTCTACGCACTCAACTGACCATGAACATAACAATGTAATTTAGCGGCCATTCTCTCATCAGCGGAGGGAGTAAAATGACGTAGACATCAAACATATGTACTGATTAATTAAAGTGTTTTACTGAGCAAACATCCATACAAATATAATTTCAAATAACCAAACATTGGTAACAAAACAGCTGAATATTACCAAACACACTGGCTAAGCAGAGAAACGAACCGGTAAGCAACCACAACGAAATATCTACTCACCCACTTATTGACAATTAAAATAAAAGCGGGGTGTTTTTTTTTTTTACTAAATATCTTTAATAAATCCTATAACGTTTCAACTGGCTGAGGTTGAAGCAAACAAAAGACACACATTAAAACGGCTTGAGAGAAAAGGGCCCTGACACTTGAAGTGTTGAGTATTCCCTAATGCAAAGTCTCACGAGATTGCTGTACAAACTCCTGCCAAGATAGTTATGGTGGTGAATAAATCATCACTCTGGCTATAAGTAATGACAGGAGAATTAAAAGCACTTTGGTTTAGAGTGAAAAGGTTTCTTTCAACGCTGGTATGCCCTTGAGACACGAGTCGGAAATTATAGCAAACCTCGCTTTGATTGCAAAGTTCCTTGACATTTACACCACTTAAATTCTTACCATTTACTGTGTATCAGTGACGTGTATTTAATTTTTCAATTTTTTTTTTTAGACGTACAGCTTCAATGCACGCTGTGGTACCGAGTTTGTATGGATTATGATAATTTTGGTGAAAATATAAACCATGCCAATTCGTGACTAATCTAATTTTCTAACAGGGGCAACTAAACTTTGCCTAAACAAAACGTTTTAAACATAGTCTTCACTTGTCAAAAGAGAATAAAATGCCACGAGGAGTCATGTTTCCAATCCATTGGCTCACACACCTCCCAATTAAGGCGTTATACCATTAACTTCCGCCGAGCGACTAAAGGACATCTCCCGTTTACTGACAGGTCCCCTCATCTTGGTGTGATCCTCCCCAAGACACTCCGATGAGATAAATGCCAAAGATGGGAGAAGGTTGTAAATAAAGCAAGGTATCTGATGATGGCGAGTTGGGAGAGAACGGGTCGATGGGGAAGTCTTCCCGTGCGTGTTGCCTTCCCGTGCCTGTTAGCCGTGTCACTTCTTATTCTATCCTGTCTCTTTCTCTCTGACACGCTCCGTCCCCCACAGTCATTGCAGAGCCCTTTCTGCATGTACTTCTAAGCTCCAGGCATGACAAAGTACACCAAGTAAACTTGCGCACTACGCACGAAAAAAAATCCATTTTTGACTCGAATCTCGCCTCCCCAGGGCTGTTTTTCTTTGGAGCTATTTCTAGGCCGATTTGCGTATACATTTTATTTGCACTGGAAAGCATAATATTTGCTCCTGGACTTGTAGGTCGGGCGTCAATGCAATTGCTCGCCATTCTTTGTGCACTAAGAAGAGGATAAACATGCAGTATACTGAAATCGCTTTGCTTACGCGACACTGAATGAAAAGACGTTTGAACCAACCATTTTCTTACTTCTTCTTAACCACATAACCGTTCTTACGCCTAATGGTCACACAACTAGAAGTAAATGAATTTGGCAAACAAGCGCTTTGACCGAAATGGTTGTCCATGGTTAAAATAACGGTCCAAAGTCCACTGTCAAAATTATGGTTCGGAAAGAAATAGTTATCCCACGGATAAAGAGAACCGAAGTCCATCTGACGTACCAAACAACCATGATGCAAGCAAAGCTGCTCATGTCGTCACAAGTACTGATTGTTTGAGGAAGAGCAGATAACAGTTTAATCAATCCGTCTATCTTGCATTTTTTTTTATCTCGTACATGAAACAGAAGTAAGTGGCGAATGACGTGAATATCGCGTTGGGGACTTCCGTCGACAAACATGGCGGTCGTATTCCCCCAACTTTAAGTGTCCTTTGCTCTATAGAAGGGTTTAGCTTAGGGGCAAGAAAGACTGGTAAACGTTTTCTGCGTTCATCAGTGTGACCTGTGTTTGAGCAGCTGCAGCCTGCCTCGTAGCCAATTTGTAATTAATATTATTATGGCGGGAACCTAAAAAAGCTCGAGTGCATCCATCTTGTTATTGCCAGTGCCCTTATTTTTATTAGTCCCGTGGAGGTTTTCCGTGAATAAAAAGATTATAAATTGCCATCATGCGTATAATGAGAGACGTTTTAACGGTTGGTCATAAAATATGTGAGGGTATGAAGTTTAAAAGGTATATGTATGTATGTATGTATGTATGTATGTATATGGAAAGACACTGAACAAAACTGTTTTGGGTGCCTTGCAACAAAATCATAAGAATTTGATATATGCAAATAGATTGCATGTACCATTTGAAAATAACAACAATTCATGCATAATTTATGAAAATGCAGCTGATAATCTCTATTTCGTTGATACTATTTAACGCCGTTGGTGCAGAGTTATACCAAGTGGGAGCCTTTTGGAGTAAATCATAACCATTATGGTGAACTGCGTGATTAATCCGCACGGCTGCTACCTTCCAGTGCTCACGGTCTGTGCTTGAGCTACCGTGGAGAACAGTTCGTATGTCAGAAATAAACACATTTTGTCAAACGACAAAAAGCAGGGTCGAACGAACAGAAGCAGGCAAGCTTGATGTGTAAATTGCTAAAGAGACCTTTGGCCGTTCAGCTTTCCAATATCGAATATACGTGGTGTTTGCTTTTTTAAGAGTAGACCTAAATGTGCACTTATTAGGCCTACAGTAGATGCTGGATGTGCAAAACTAATTGAATCAAACGGAACGATAGAAAGTATTGATGTCCAGGTCCCATATTTAACAGTGATGTACATCTTCCGGTCATGGCCAGAGATTTACGGCATTAGCCGGTCGGATGTCGCTTGTCACGATGCGTTCTCCAATCACGCACAGACCATTGTGTTTTCTGTTCTCGACCGGATTTTGCAATCCAAGACTGCCCTGTTAGTCTCCACATCTTCTTGGGGCCAGGGTCACGGATCACAGACTCAGTGTGATCACAATGGTCTGTGCGCGATTGGAGAACGCATCGTGACAAGCGACATCCGACCGGCTAATGCCGTAAATCTCTGGCCGTGACCGGAAAATTATCTCCGCCAAAGGAAACGTCGTGCTTCCTTGTATTGATTCCGGGGATCGGACCACGAGACATTTCTGCCGGTAGATGTTTACTGATGAAGGTACAAATCAAACACTGGTAAGAAAGAATCAACAAAGTGGCCGCGTTCTCTGACAGCCTATTGCGCCCGATAAGTTTGCGCACACCTAGAGATGCCACACTGTAATGGCGTTTTCTATTTACGAGAAACCAAAGTCGTATTGACACAATGTGGGACACAAAATGGCTCCGCAAAACACCAATGCATCGAGTAAACACATAGACCCCGAGTAAATGGGAGCCATGGATGTCTAGGTATCAAAACGCCCACCAGTGTAACATGAACCACCCTTCTCCCCTCTGTGGCACAGCGTCCTCTATTGCTTCAAACTGTATTTTATAAAGCGCGGTTCATCAACCAATCAAACTTCAATCAGACCTCAAATAAAAAGGGAAGAAAACGTATGAAAGATTTACTGGCTTGTCAGAGTCATAAAGTGAGAATTCTCGTGAGAACGAGTCTTTCACGACAACGGGTGAGAGATGACTTTCTCTTGAACTGGTGTCGCACCTGCTGAAGGAAGGAGAGAGAGACAGACAGACAACAATAACGGCACATACTGTTATTGAATAATAACCCACCTCAAAGTGTCTGCATTTATACTGCCAGGGGCTATTTCCGTCCTGGGGAAGTTATGTCTCATTCCATGATAAATTTCGCTCTTGAATATCATTCATCTTGGCAGGTGATATCAGGTCTATCAGGTCTATAAATAGATACCAAATGTACCGCGAGCTTCCGTCAGCTCTTTCTAAAATGTCCCCCTTTTTCGTTTTACCACCTGGTTTTTATATTTCTCAGAATATCTGGCCTTTGGATATGACGTTTCTACGCTCGCGGTCTTTAAGTATTAACAAAAATAATGTTGTTACTTATCTGAAGGAAATCATCATGAGTTGTGACACGATGTAGCTACGGGTTCATATTATCATCTGATAATATGATAATATAGGAAATTAAAGGAAAATAACTAGAGAAAGTCTAAATTGCTAATTTTCGAGAAAAAAGCAGCGTTGATTTTGTTGAGTATTAAAAAACAATCTGTATATAAGGGCACTGACAAATGCGTTCTTCCGCATCCTTCGATCTCCGATAACTGCAAGACGAAGAAAAAGCAAGCTATAGAAATTAACTACAATATGTTTATTTTCTTGATGGCCCTGAATTAATTAAATTGAGTGAGCAAATACTAATAAAATGCCGGTGTCATGCAATACCCAAAGCTGTCAATTTATACTTCAAACATGACATCCATCAGCTCCACGATCGACTGGCATTCAGGAAATTCCTGACAAAGACCATTTCACTGTCATATCGGTGTCTCTGACTTCCCCTCGACGATTCTTGACAGCACGAGAAAGTTTACCGAGGCGAGCGGCCCGCCAGCCAAGCGTTTCTGACCATGTTTGCCCGGCGAGGAATCCCTCGCTAAACTTGGTAAACACCGAAGAAGCAAATGGAACACAGAACCGAATTGTATCTTTTTTATGCCACTCGCAATAAAGACGTTCGCTCACCCACTTAAGACTGCAAACTACGTGACAAGTGACTGTTTTCATTTTCCGGGTGACCCACAAAGGGAAGCGGAAAAACAGGCGAAATAAGCCCCGGAACGTGGCTAAATGGCCGGCATGTGACTGTAATTTCCAGCTCGTGCTTACTCCAGGCCTGTACTCAAACATACCCACGGAAATGTACAAATTTACCGTGTTTGAAAATTAAATTCAGAATTTAATATCTTTCGGTTTGTCTTTGTACAGGGTTTCAAAAAGCCTTGGGCCCTTGGAGGAAATTAGATCTATCCAAACTCGACTATAATGATCATCAATTGATAATATGTATAAATACAACCTTTTTTCGCTATCTGTCTCCTATAGGTTGTAAATGATGTGGGGATATTATAAGAACGAAATAACATTATCTACTTCCACAAGGCTTGGTGTTATAATTATGGAATAACACATACAATACGCAACAAAGAGTTTGTTGCTTTTGCTCACAAGAGACTTCCTTCAAATGAGTTTCGAATGTTTCCACCATTAGGAAGGAAGGAAAAGACAAAAGGCAGAGTCGTCTAAAGGGAATACGTTGTGAACCTCCTTTTTGCTTAAAATAACCTCTTTTTAGCACTAGGGCGTCATTATGGGAACCGATAGTTTTCTTGATTATGTTAATGAAATATTTTGACTTTGTGTGACAGGCATCAGTGCCAACGACTTGTTGGAAGCCTTCGGTCGGATGTTCTTCGAATTCTGCCAGGAATCGGGCTACGACACCATCCTGACGGTCCTGGGCTCCAACACACGTGACTTCCTACAGAACCTGGACGCCCTTCATGATCATCTGGCCTCCATCTATCCCGGTATGAGGGCGCCCTCCTTCCGATGCAGCCAGAGGGAGAGTGACGGCGCCCTTGTGCTGCACTACTACTCCGAGAGACCTGGATTGGAGAGGATCGTAGTGGGCCTAGTCAAGTCTGTATCTGAGAGTCTCCACAATGGCGATGTGGACGTTGAAATCATCAAGACTAAGGGAGATGACTGCGACCACGTCCAGTTTGCTATCATTGAGAAGAGTAGGGAGGAGGATAAGTCTACCGTGCGTCAGGATTACAACACCATGGGAGTCTTCTCGGCAGAACCTAAGATCAGCCCAGCTACCTTCTGTCGCATCTTTCCCTTCCACATTATGTTTGACTCTAACATGATCATCCATCAGTGTGGCAACTCAGTGGTACGTCTGCTTCCCTGCTTGGCTTCAGACCGCTGTGACATCACCACTGTCTTCAATATGGTACGCCCTCACATGGACTTCGCCTTCAAGTCTATTCTGAGTCATCTGAACACCATCTTCGTTCTTCAGACCAAACACGGTCTGGAGGGCATCAGTGAATCCCTCAATCATCACAGACTCAAACTCAAGGGTCAAATGCTATACATCCCGGACTCCAACGAGATCCTCTTCCTCTGCTCGCCCCACGTGGTCAACTTGGACGATCTGCGCACACGCGAGTTGTACCTGAGTGACGTGCCCCTTCACGACGCCACGCGAGATCTCGTCCTGGAGTCCGAGAAGTTCGAGGCGGAATACAAGCTGACACAGAAGCTGGAGATTCTGACGGACAAACTCCAGCAGACATACAGAGATTTGGAGGTTGAGAAGAGCAAGACAGACAGGTGGGTCAGAGTTCAAGTCATCACTGGTTCCCTGTAGTCATGCCATAAATAGGCACAGTACACGTCAACTAATTACCAGTAATGTGCGCAAGGCCCATATGGCTGCTTTGAGGTCAATTAGGTGAAACACACTACACACAATAGGAAATACAAACATTCAGTAGGTCTACTGTACAAACATTCATTAAGTTTGGTTTCCACATTGCAAGAGTATTTACAGTATATCAGTATGATTACCAAATGAACACACTCTAGCGTTTCAATCCCAGAAACTTCTCACAACTTGTATAAACAGTGACCTCGACTTCAATTGCCTTCTCCTGCACGTGTACAGGTTGCTGTATTCGGTTCTCCCGCCAACCGTAGCCCAGGAGTTACGTCACTGTCGGCCGGTACCAGCCAAGAAACACGGGTTGGTGACTATCATGTTCAGCGGTATCACTGGCTTCTCTGACTTCTGCCACCGCAAGTCCGGAGACGCCATGGTGGTTGTCAACCTGCTCAATGTCATCTATACCAAGTTTGACGCCTTGACGGACGTGAATCCCCAGGTGTACAAGGTAATGCCATGGCAATCAATTTCTTCACTATAACCGTTGCGTGCTGAACTTGAATACATACTTTAAAATGTGGTTAATATACTTTCTTACATTTTATATTAGTTTCTGTTTTCGTTTTACTTCTGTTTTTGCTGGATGGTTGAAATGCATTAAGCACTTGCACCCAAAACAGAAGTTCATACACACTACTGCAATCGACTAGGCTATAGCCGGACCGGACAAGTCATTGCCGTCTTAACAATTCAATCATCTTTGGGAGATGAACATTGAACGGACGAGCCACAGTGTCAACAGATACCCGCACATCCCACACGATAAGAATCCGTTTATCTTATTGCAGTCGACGCCAAAGAAGCTATGAATAATCCCACGGATAATGCCTCCAGCAATCCCCGAACACACCAAACCGCATGAAAGATACCATCCATTGACACAATACTCCTATTAGGACTTCTCTGCAGCGTAAGGCCCATCCAGAAACTGCACGGAGGTCATCGTCCGCACAAGTTTAGTCGATTCGTATTGATAACAAACTCTGATATTGCTTTAATCAATGGTTCGTTGCCCTCGCGCCTCCCGCAGATTTTGATATGAAGAAGGGAAGAGACGATGCGCCAAGGATCTTAGCGATGATCGCGCGGTATAGCGGACCCGCGGGAGGCATGTTCTCCCGGTACACCCCCTCTGAGTTCTACGTGAGGACACACGAGCGATACGGCTTATTTTAGAGCCATTCAGCGAGTATGACACCGCGCACCATGCCGTCTAGAGTGTTTTTCTCATCAGGGAGCGGTGCTTGAAGTAAACCATAGCTCGTTATTTGCTGTAATGTAACTCAAGGTTGTTTGTCATATTTTCAATCACGTCTCTGTGTCGATGATTTACAAGCACTCGAGGTTTCATTTTTTCGCGAAGATGTTTAATACCCTGATACGGTGTGAACGTAATTGGAAATATTATCAATGCCAATATTACGAATGCAGCAAAGGAATTGGTTTCTTCATGAAAGTAGCGATTTGTAAACGTATTTTTTTTATCCAGCATAATAATAAATATTCCATTATTTCCAGTCAATGAATAAATAACACAGTTCAAGAGGCAACCAAGAAAGCCTTTGAATCACACATGGACTTACGTAAAACTACTTTCTTAAACCGAGAATCAAGTATAATTTCATGCTTGGGGGAAAGATTTTCCTCCTGAAGATCCATTTCACGCGCACTCACCTCCACGGCTTGATAACTCTCACTTCTGCCTGCCCAATGTTTTATTGATTGGATTCCAAGTGGGAAAATCCATTTCGAAACCGCGGACTTATTCTGTTATTTTCAGCACCCGTGAGTATGATAATACCGGCGCTTGTATGATAAAAATAGCCGGTGGTGCAATTGTGTGACCAGCGCGAAGCAGAAAAAATCAAGAAACAGAACACTGAGTATATTTGTGGACGGTAATCTGCATACGGTGCCTTTGGCCACTATTAGCCTCAACTTACCCTGTGGCCGAATTTAACGGACACCCAATCAAAGGAAAAAGCGCAGTATCTGGGTCAAATTAATTAAAGGTCTAAGTAGTATTCCTTGGGGTTATTCAGTGCTTTTCCTTTCCTTAAAGTGTTCTGCAACAAATAGTAGGTAGAAGACGTATTACGAAATGAAATACTCGCTGTTCCATAATAATTGTTACGATTATTTTAAGGATGCGGCTCATTTACTTTGGTTGGAAGACGTATTTGGTGCGCGTCTACAACTTTGAATATGCATGCATATGCAAATGAGCAATACAGTTTTGCTAATTTTAGAAAATTACATCACTGACTATACATTTGATTGGCAGGTGGAGACGGTGGGTGACAAGTACATGGCTGTGAGTGGTCTCCCCGAGCCATGTGACACGCACGCAAGTTGCATAGCGAGCATGGCTTTGCAGATTATGGAACAGTCGGGGGAAATCACAGTCGATGGCGAACCGATCGTGGTGAGTAGAAATAATCGATACAGGCAAGTATCAAAATAATCGATAAACCTACATTTCACTTTTAACAAATACATCAATGTATTTGTTAGAAGGATACTAAGATAAGAATTTCTAACTTGTTCTTCTTACTTTCACAGTTAGCCTATTATTGATTTAAAAGGGAGAAAGTGATATTCATCTTAAGAATGATTACAGGGGGGGGGGGTTGCCCCGCTCTGATTCATTTTTTTAAATAGAAATATATTAATAATAGTGGGAAAACAACCCCACCCCTGCTCAGACACGCAAAAACATGTACCGGTAATAATGTCCGCCTGTGCACAACATTCGGACAGAGCCAGCTGGGGTACGGGGATAGGGCCTAGTATGTGTACACTATTATGTAATATCGTCGGATTTAAACAGCGCTCCCATTGAAAGTATGGTACGAGCCCCACCCCCCCCCCCCCCCAACCCCCTCCCCTCACCCATCCACCTATTGATTTTACGGAGGCCAAGTGTCCGAAGAAAAGAACCTGTCTACATTTCAGCATTGATTTACTGATGAAACAACCCCCCCCCCCTTCTGCGAAAATTCCTGGATCCGCCCCTGGAAGAGTTAACTTTTCCTTGAATATCTACCAATCTATATGAGCAATTTAACCAACAATTGCAAACCAATTATATATTTTCTGCCCAACAACGAAATCAACATCGTGTTATCGAGAAAATTCAGCCTGCCGTTTAATAAAAAAAAATCATTGGCGGTCGGATTTGGCCTGAGGCATCTAGCCCAGAAACTTGGCAGGTCGGCACAATCAATATTTTATTATGAAGATGCAGCCCCACTGCGTATTTTCTTTCAATACATTGCCAGCGTTACTATATTTATCTTGGAAACTAGAGCGATTCTCATCTCGTGGATATTTTTGGACGAGAAAACAACTTTATGTGATCGATTACGCCTGCGCAAGGCAGTGGTAGGGGAATTCACGAGAACTGTTTTTCTCTGTACAGTTTATTACATCTTCATTTGAGGATTATCAAGTGTATACCTTCTAACGATTCAGTATTGCAAAATAGGACAATGATATTTACTGAACCTAACGTTTATGAAGCAATGCATTCTGATGAGAATTTCGGATTATTTTTTAAAAAGGAAATTGCCAAGTTCATTTCAAACCTTCTGCAATGCCGTCATAGGACGTGTTTTTACCTGTGATATATTCACACTGAATACATCATTCCATTGCAGGTTTATTATTATTATTTTACGTGTAAAGGTACCACTAAGGAGACACGTTATCGTAATTTCGTCGCACGATGGGAGACATCGGTCATTAGGGAGACATTTTCATGTCTCCCTAATGTCACAGCCCCCCTTTAGAGGCACAATTTTATGGTCGCAATTAGGTTATATTTGTTGCTCGTGGTCTAAATAGTAAACATACCAATATTCGTGGGAAAAAGGACAAGGGAATATTGGGTTAGGGCACAGTTAAGTTTGAAAAATTTTGTGCAGAGGTCTATGGGGATGTCTCCCAAAATGTCCAATCCAGGGTTATAATAATTATTATTATTATTATGGTTTATTTATTTGAATTAAAAGCAGCCCACAGGCTGAAAACATTCAAATTTACAACGGGTATTCTAGTTTATTTTAGTTGATTGTATTAAACATACAATCAATACATCTTTAAATTGTAAATTAAAAGGTACAAAGCATGACGGAAGAAATTAATCATTATCATTACAACTAAAAACATGCTAAGACAAGACATTACTGATTAAAACTGAAGTGTAACATTATTTAAAATTATCATTAAAAAAAGAGAGTAGATCACAATATTTAACATATTATTTTAAAATTCTGGCCAGTGATGGGATAGTAGATTTCTTGTATGGCTCGGTGTTACATCTGGGTATGACAAGACCAGACACGGTTGTAGACCTAGACCAAACACACGTAGGCCTACAAAGATTAGAACAACATGACAGCACAAAGTGACACCCCCTCCTGAGGACACGCCCCTTCCTTCAGACCAATCTCATATCTTACTCCGTCACCTTTCAATTACTCTCCCTGCAGATAACCATTGGTATCCACAGTGGTGAGGTCGTGACCGGTGTGATTGGTACCCGCATGCCCCGCTACTGCCTATTCGGTAACACGGTCAACCTGACAAGTCGGACTGAGACCACTGGCAAGACTGGATGTATCAATGTATCTGAATACGCATACAGGTATGGACATACAGTTTTATCTTCGAAACAAGGTTGTTACAACTGATAATGTAGTAACCGATAATGTAACAGAAATTGACCGATAGTGTAGTAAAAATGTACTACACTATCAGTCAAATGTTGTTACATTATCGGTCTTAACCGATAATGTAACAAATATTGACCGATAGTGTAGTAACATTTACTACACTATCGGTCGATTTCTGTTCCATTATCGATAGTGATACAGTATCGGTCAATTTGTGTGACATTATCGGTTGGTGATACATTATCAGTTGGTTACTACATTATCAGTTGTAACAAAGGTTCAGGCGCAAAATCCACACAGGCAGGGATGTGAAAATCTCTCATTTTTTCTCCACCAGCTATCTTAACCGCATCTTACCTCAAATTATCATATTCTACGTACAGAATATTCAATGTCGCATACATCATGATGTATCCTGGCACAACAAGTTGATTACATTACCATTTTACATAAATATGTTCATATTAAAGTCAGGGAATATATCTGTAAACATGTTGTTTGAAATCGCCAGTTATTGTCACTTTTCAAAATGAGTCTTGTAGGCCTATTTGGAAGCATCAAGTGTTGTTTAACAGATATGTATTAAGTGACGACAGGATAACTCACAATCGCAAAACAAAATCGACATAAGAGTGACTAGCGATCAAATCTAGGTTGACCCGTGTACAGTTTGTATTTCTAAGGTCACAATATCGACAGAATAGCGAGGAAAGTGCGGTAACTCCCGCCAAACCTTCCAGATCCTTTGGCAACACAAACCCAACAGGAAAGCACAATATCCCGCTCCGAATCTATGTCAGTTGGAAACCCTGCACCTCCCCAATCTATACACCCTGTCGATACGGTGGTGACGGACTATGCAGACGGTCCGTTGTATAACGGACAGCAGGGCGGCCATAGACTGCCGAGAAACACGCCTGACCACACAACCTTCAACTTGGGGAAGAGAGTGGAGAAAAAAATCACAAATTCTGTCCTGGACAACAGATCAAGTTTCGTTACGTGGATCGATCCGGCATTGAATTTCAACACGAAGCGGGAACAAAAACACAGCCCCTCGACGCTCGTGCCGATAGCCGTGCCTGACAACCCAGAACAGCTATACCAAAGTCTTGTATATACGCCGTTACGATTTCAAGCTTTTGTGGACTCGAGGTGTGCTGTTTGATATCATTTTCGCCCACGGTGCTCGGAGCAAAATATAATTTTATCATTGACGAGGGATCAAGTGTCGCTAGAAGGATTGATTTATTTAAGTTGCACTGTATTCAATGACAGACGAGTGCCATGATGTATTCAACGTGCATGAGAGATGGCTACTGTTGTTGGGCCTTGTACAAATAAAATAAAACTTAAAAGATGACACATGATCTCAGGCATGTTTTTCTAACCGACTTTCCTTGTCTTTTGAATGTTTTTCAGCTTAACTTCTGTTAACGTCATATTTATTGTAGCTTATACACCATATACTTTACCTGTACACATTCAATGTGACAGTCCAATGCCCTGAATTCACTTTCTTAAAACCTTTTTATTCACACAATGTGAAAGGAAGATTTAGCCGAAACCTTCAACCCACTTGCATATAGCCTCCAGCATTTCACACTGCTTTCAGAAATCCGTGTTTTCGTTTTATTTCTACGCGCGGCTTCTTCTGCATGAGTGGAAATTGGCGCCGAACGATTGATAACATTCTACACCGAATTCACACCCACAAGTCTTCTGCCCGACTGCAACAACCCTTCGCTCGTTTGTTTTCCTAGGCATTTTGCAATTTCTGCCAAAGTCTCACATCCTTTAGACCAACATCTTCAGGGATATCTTTAAGGTTGTTTTGAACATGTTTAACTGCGCAAGGAGTGTTTCACGCACGTTTCTGCAAGGGGTATTTCGAGCGAACAGTGCGATCCGCGCGCTTCAAATTTTACGGTGAGGTTGTACCTGTCAAGTCGATGCAATTCCAATCAATATAATGGAGATGCCTACATGAAACAAACGCAACAATAACAGATCCTCTCATATCACTATTGTCTTAGATTTACCCCTGGCCCTAGACGTTACCAAAGTCTCCACATAACATGAATATACGCTGATATTGTAGTAATTCGATCCCATTTAAAATGCAATAACTTACGCAGGGCTCTCAGTGGAAGGGAAGCTCAAACGTTTTGTATTGATCTAGCCATGAATAAATGAATCCCAAATCAAATTTGGGATCTATTAGAACACTTGTAACCATGGGGCTTCTTAGTAATCGTGCATAAATGTGCGGCTGCACGGGCTGCGGGCAAAAGCTTGTTTATGTAGCAAAAAAAAACTGAAGAAAGGTATTTCAATAAACTTTAAGACCGAGCAAAATGAATACCGAAAAGCATCTACGCGCTATATTGTACTGAACTGCAGTGTTTCAGTAGCGCGAAGTTACCAAGTTTCCCCAGGACATTGTCTCTGAGTTCCAAGAATGTGTACTTAAACTCTGAATGCTTAAAGCAACCTAAGGCCTATAAAATGTCTCACAGAATTCTGATGTATACAATACCACAATGCCTTCACGCCATTCTCGTTTCTCTATGCGAGTACCACGCAACGCCACTGCCTCGCTTCAATTATTTACCAAGATAATACATAGCTGACACCGTCTCAAGAGAGTATGCTTTTACCCGGAGCAGAGAAAACAAACATGAGACATGGGTAGGACATTGCCAAACATACCTCTATCCAACAAAACAAGGATCTCAGCAACCGCCAAGGGGATAGAAGGAGTATTAAGTGCCCATAGGAAAGAAAGAAAGTTTGGTTATATTGATTTGAACGACCTCCTCATGTACCTATACTGCCAGCGATTTGCGTACATGGCAATACACATAGAGCGTCTTGCCAATTTCGCCCTAAGTGGGTTACATTATCTATTAAGTTGCGCCAAATGGCAACGATGTTTCCGCCGTGAAAGCCTCTGAAATTCAATTTGAACATTTTATTGTCCACTGAGAGAGTGCACTGTCCTGACTTAGTATTACGGGCTGGTAACGCACCGTATCACTTACATGGCCATACTACAGAAAAAAAACACCTCTCTGGGCCGAAATGGAAAAAAAAAAATTCTTCAATTTTATGTCTACCGCTAAATGGGATTGAACAAGTGCAGGCATGTTGTGATGGGCTGTGTATCATTACAGCAGCACAAAGTAACAATGCTGAGAGTTAACTTTCCAAGGATATTTTGCACTACTATAATGTTCATTATATTTTGCACCACTATAATGTTCATAATCTACTATAATGTTCATAAGTATGAGGACATCATGGTCAGCACATGGTGCCAAAAGTCAATCAACTATCTAGGTATCGTGTTACCAATGACTTGTTATCAATCACAATCTAATGAGACCTACGCATTCCGATCACTGACCTCTATATAAAGACTGGATAGCGGATATGCATACAACATTCACACAGTAGACTTTGCATATTGACCAATTCGCCCCCGGTCTCACGAAGATGGCCGCGTATATACGAACGTTCTACGCGTAAATACGCGCGCGTTGTATCAACAGTTGACGCGCATTTTGGTCACGTACACATATTATGATGTTCTAAAAAGGACACATTTCCGTAGTGATTATTATTTCAAAAACACCGAAAAAGTGATTTGCGGCATTATAAAAGTAACCACGACGTTAGAAAAATTGTAGTAAACCTTGGTCAGTTGGTCAGTGGTGGTGGCCAAAATATAAGTCAAGTGAACCGCGACGTTACAAAAGAAATCATGCTGTCTATAAAGACGGCAACTTGTCCTTTGTAGATCACCAGCCGGTCTCACCAATATGGCGTCAAATTCGTACATTGTGCGGCTCTTTATTAGCTATCCAGTCTTTATATAGAGATCAGTGATTCCGATCCACTACCCAGGGGTATTACATGCGAGATACAAATGCCTGCCCCCCGGGAACGAGGTTATTGACTTGGTTGTTACTTTCGTGTGTGTGTGTGTGTGTGTGCACTTTCTGCAGGTGTTTGATGGAGCCCCAGAACCACGACCCCACTTTCCACTTCGAGTTCCGCGGACCAGTGGTCATGAAGGGCAAGAAGGAACCGATGCAGTGTTGGTTTCTGACTAGGAAGGTGGGCGAGGAGCAGAGCGAAGCAGAGCAATAGTCATCACTCGATTAATTTGCTCTTCGATATATTATAAGCAATTCGACTTTGAGCACGATGAAAAGTTCATTGTTACCCCGACCCAATCATTATGATCAGCACCTGTTCGACTTCTCATTAACAATGAATGGTACAATTAGGAGCCTCAAGCAGTGATGTATTATTTTAAACAGCGTTGTCAGGTGGCTAATGATGACACTCTGGAAGAAGGTTTATCACTACTATTTCCATCGATGTATGGCAACAAGGTTTTTTAATCATAGCCATCGTCACCACATCGACAATTAATGACTTCAAGCAACCTCATCTGATCAGTGTTATCACCATTATGACCATCATTATCACCATAATCACCACCATCACCTTAACAATCATTACCATCTCCACCACTATCCCCTCCATCTCCATCATCATCCTTAACATCATCACCACTATAATCCTATCCAACACCATAATCAAGATCATCACCGCCATCACCTTCACAATAATCACCATCGCCACCATAATGCCCACTATTACTTCCATCAACAACATCAATCTTAACATCATCACCATAAAATATCATAACCAGCACCATAATCAAGATAATCACCGCCATCACCTTCACAATAATCACCATCACCATCATAATCCCCACTTTAACCTCCATCACCACCATCTTCCTTAAAGGGAAGATACAAGATTTGCAAACATCAAAATACGAAATGATCAAATTATCACGAAATATCTTACTGGATTGTTAGGGAACGACAGTCTAAAGCATCCTGTAAAGTTGTGGCTCCTGTTGTGATGACATTTTCAAGAAAAACTGTATTTTTCCAAAGCTGGTCGGCCGACCAGCGTTGGAGAAAACTGGCTTTTTTTCAAAACGTGCTCCTTATTTTTTATATTTAGTTCGTCTGCATTTTCTTTGCAATTGATTACACACCTGTGAAGACAACAAGCCTGCTAGCCTGATTCTCTGATCCTACAATTCCCCAAAGTCTATAAATTGCTCCGTTTCATCTTAAGTGGGGTCAGGGAACCAGACTACAAGAATATAATTGGTTTTCTTGGTTTTTCAAGCATCTATGAACCCAAAACATGAAACAAGTCAGTGTAACAATATTTGCTATAACATACTAATCCTCCAAATCCATTTATTTCTGAAAATTGCAGCAAAAGCAAATGTTGTAAATTCCCTTTAACATCATCACCACCATTATCATAACCAACACCATAATCAAGATTATCACTGCCATCACCTTCACAATAATCACCGCCATCACCTCAATAATCACCGCCGTTACCTTCACAATAATCACCATTGCCATCGCCACCCTCCATCACCGCCAACATCCTGCACACCAATCACTAACTCAATCACCACCACTATCACCACTAACATGTGATAATCAGACTCCTCCTCATCACCCTTCATCCTCCTTATCAATTTCATACTGCTCCTAATTACCATACTAAGATCTGTTGCCTGCTTCCAAAACTCTCTCTTTAACTTCACTCCATACCTTCAGCACTGTTATACCATTATCAACCTCTTCCCAACTGCTGACGATTTTCCTTACCATCCCCCCTCATTTTCGACCATCATCATTGTCACATAAAGGTTGATGTAATAGAAAGTTTTACACTGCCTCAAGTTCATGACTTTCTGAGATTCTTCTCGTTTGAAATACACTCATGGCACAGGTGTTACCAGAACAAAGCTCGTTTGTAGCCTTAGATGCATTCCTTTACCATAGTTTAGATTCCACCTTAGTCACATGCAGTGGCAGGTGCATACAAGAAGGGGCAAATGCAAACAAGTGCTTGAAGATTCAATTATTTACTGCTGCAAGCTCCTCGCGCTATTCCCTTGTTAGTTTGACTTAACAGTATTTCTCAAAGCCAATTGTGATTCCGAAAGTAACTGGAGGACACCAAACTTAATTTGGTCCAGAATCTGGGATGCTACTGCCGCATTCAGTCCACGCTTCCCTCTTTCAGAAAGACGTCAGAGTCCGAAATTAGTCAAAAGGTACTGATGCGGAGGGAATCTCCTTTTCTCCAATCCTATAAGATGAAAACAGGGTCTTGGGAAAGGCATGCTTGTCAAATGTCAATTAAATCAGAACGGCAAATCCAGCCGAAGAGAAGGGTAGGGGATCATAACGTTTCAATCGGAATTATAGGATTTGGAAGGAGTGTCTGTGGAGGGAGATACATCAGCACTGGAGTGGGGGGAGGGGTAGCATGATCTGGGGGGGGGGGGCTCCAGAGTGTAACATGAGGGGGTGGACTGAGAGGAATATGGGTCAGGAATCAGAGCGGGTTGGAATCGGACTAAACTGGATCAAGCATAGTGGTAGATTGAAATGTGATATGAGTTCAACCATGGCGGGTAAGTTGAGGAATAGTACATGCGAAATGCTGTGCTACAACAAAGTATGGTTGAAATCATAAACAGAGTGTAACCAACAACAACTGGTTTGATTCAGATTCTAGACGTTTTGGAGGAGCATAACGCCACAGTTGACCCTACCACTTGGAAACGGATACAATAACACAAAAACGCATAAAAGCAAATGACTTTTATATAATTCAGGACAGGAATATTAATATATTTTCTAAAAAGTCTAATATTGTACAATCTGCATAACAGTGCGTAAGCAAATAAACACATTTGAGTAATGTGATTTAACAACTCGGCAAGCTGCACAGCAGTGTCATCTAATGTAAAAATGTATAAAAGTATTTATTTGTGTAATATATCTCTGTAAATTAAACAAAAATGTAACATTAGAAACAAGATATTTTTCCAATTCAGAATAGCGTTCTTGATTACATGATTAAGTATGACAAATGTAACAAACAAAATTGATGAAAAGTTATGCTTTTGAATTTAGCATGTGATTACCTAGTTATTCATTGACAGTTTTTGTCAAACAAGTTGAAGCAAAACTGTATCAATCTACTTGTATTCTGTAAAAAGTTATAAATGAGTGCAATAGTGAGATATCAAAGCCTATGGTATCACAAAGTATGAGATAATCACGGTTTGTTACCATGATATATTCCTACCTATTGTAATAGTTAACAGCTTGATGTACATGTACTTCGCCAAAAGTTACTATTACGTTTAGATTATTTGATTTACAAATTAAGGTCTTCTGTAGCCCTTCCCCTTTGTAATTTTCCTTTGGTATCCCATTGCAATAAACTTTAAAACGTAATTTGAATTGTGTATGCTTCTTTTGTTCAGTGTTCGTGGTGACAATTCACATTCATCTAGAGCCAATTCTAGAAAAGTCATTATTTCTGAGATATATTCCTGATGGCAATCATAGTGAGTGTCCTCTACTCATGGCCGGCAGTTGACAATCACGAAGAATGTATGGCTTATCTGATCAAACCACACCAGGCTTTGACAAGATGATTCACAGAAGTAAAAACTGACAATATGAATGTGAATTAATAATCATATATTACGGCAGAAGAACAGAAAGGACTCCTCAATGATATAGTTCAGGATATTCATAAGATGGAACTATGAATGCGTCGGTGAAGGGCAAAACCCAACATTGAATCTTTCAAGGTGTTTTCTTTCAAGATGAATTGGGGAAAAAATGGATAACAAAAACTGACAACTACATGTACGTAGTTTCTTGGGCGGAAAAAATAACGAGTGCCCAGTTGGCTAAAAAAATAAATGTCTCAACTATAAAGAACAAAAGTGATTGACTACTTTCTGGTCCATTGGGTTCAATTCCCATGTGATCCTGGTAATGCATTCACTCGTGATGCATTCTTAGATTGAACATGGGGATGCACTACTGGCGCTTATCAAGTCTTGAACTTTGATCAGATCAGATCAGTTCACATCAATCCAACTGTCTCCTGAATGACGAGACTGACGTTTTCCTGGACCTCTCATCAGCCAAAAAAAACCAAGTAGATGATGTAAATGTCACAGGAGACAATCACTGAGTTAGAAGACCTTGGCCCATATACTCTCTGCTCTCTTGGGATTGAAATTTCATTCTAACCGATTAGAACTAGGGAAAACTATGCAATTTGGTCCCTAGGTTTCATCGATTAGATGCGCTCCACTGTGAAATTTCAAATTGAGTCCACGTGCCGTCAAGCAAGGGATTATTGTCCAAGTCTCAGGCATTTCTCTCCGGTAAAGTGTTCCTTCTTAAAGTGTCACTTCTTATCATGACCGCTGGGTCTTTCCTCTTTCTTATCAAAGGCTTCCCAGTACGATGCATCTTCTGGTAATAAGGGCTGTGCGGAGGAAACGAGGTCCGGGAATGTAAGTTCCTTAAAGACGGTAGTTGGCACATGGACATCAGCTGATACCTACGAAGAAGGGGGAAAATTGGATATTTATCAGAGGTGACTAGAGAAAGAGAGAGTAGGGGACAGGGCTGAGGAAAAGCTCCAATTCATGACTCGGCCACATGACAAATGAAATATACTCCACGTCATTTAGTAACTCATTACTCTTAATCAACTATCTTTGCAGCAGTTCAGCTGCATTGATTTGTGTACAGTTTTTTTCTGAAGAAAACTGACTGAAGAGGGAAAATCTCAAGGAGGTTTGAAGAGAGATGGCGTCTGATTCAAGACCAGCACATAACAAATACAGGTCTTTGTGTTACTTGGCCAAATGATAACCGGTGAATGCTTCTTTTAAAAAATATGAGCCGTACATCTGCTGCTAATCCAAAGAAAATAGACCGAAACATTCTTGTTAACTTTCCCATCTTCATGGGATGTATTTCTCCATCTTGTCACTTCTAAAAAGTATGACGTACACACCCATCAGACAGTTTTCCTGTCGAATTTAGATTTCCCCCTGACTCATTATAAATGTCCTATCCTCTTCGACGCTCGTTTAACTACTCTCAATCGATCGTGTCTGCTTTAACAATTACTCTTGATTGTCTCTGATGTATGTTTTGTAAACCAACACTCTGATTATAAGACATCAGCAACCATCCGTGGCACATCAAGCACTGACATGATAATATTGATGGCACCGTAATTGAGAAATCATATATGGACAGGTTTTCTTCATACGCGTCTTAATGTTCGATTACCATTTCCTTGCATGCATGAACATGTGCCTCAACCAATAAATGACACTTGCCAGAGATACAGGAAGCATGCCGAGATCCAGGACAAGACTACAAACATACGGTGAAATTTATGCTTCATTACATGTCAGTATATGGCATCAATCAATTATGCCGGTGGAAAAATCAACGGGGATGTTCTACAAACAAGTGCAGCGTACTGTCTGTTCTTTCAGTGTGGTGCATTTAGAAAACATGGACATGTACGGGTACCTCCAATATTTGCACATGACTGAGAGAAATCAGCAGTCATTAATCAAGTTGTGAAGCTGGAAAATTATCCAACCACTTTCAAGCATTAACATAAAAACCTATTTGAAAACAAAATTTTAAAAGGGCAAAGCAATAGCTCAGTATACGATTATAAACCAAACCTACCGGTATATATTTTCTTTAAATTGTATATCTTTGGTCGTCCTCCAAAGTTGTAAATTATGCAGAGCATGTGGCTTTTCAATCGCATTGAATTGGAAACTGAAGGCACATCAAATGTAAAATGCACATGGTTGGTTTGACATGCGGCATCAATGTTTGATGGTGCAGGTTCTTCACTGACCCCTTTAATGTGGATGGAAATGTATCATGATAAGGCCAAAAAAAAAATAAGTCGGTCTCTGGTCAGCGCGCGCGTCGATCTTTTTTTTTCCAAAATGTTCCGCGGTAGCTCCAACAGCGCCCTCTATTTCCGCACCTCCTCAATTCTTTTTACCAAAGAGCACCAAGGAATGGGAAATTGCACCAAGGCAAATGATCGAAAGCACCAAGGCAAATTATGGAGGACACCAATGTACATGAGGACACCAAAAAAGCAAAATTGTACCCACCTTGTCTGTACAATCCAAGCTTGAAGGGAAAAAAAAAAAAAAAAAAAAAAAAGCCGCGTGGCCGCGTCAATTTCGGAACTTTGGTCTGACCAGAGACCGAATATTTTTTTTTTGGCCTAATACAATATGAGGCTGCACTATGACAACTGCGGGACATGTAAGTATCAAGTAGGTTCTAGTCAGATGTGTAGTTTGCGCATGCATACATGTATGAATGTATTCAGTGTAAATTCTGAAGAAGGAAAATAGAGCAGTGTATGCACAAAGTCAATGGGGAATTTTACTCCTATTGACTTCTGTTTCAACCCTCGGAGAAGCACTCTGCAATCTGCAGTCACCGATAATACTTGTGACGTCCAAACAGTGCAAGATTTACACCTTGATTAAACTTCACATTGCAAGCAATCTACCCATGGGGTTTTGATACTGAGAACATGATGGGTCGATTTACTGAAAACAACCCATTGAGAGATTTCTTGATTTCTCCCGTGGTTTCATCACTGTGGTGTGTGTCACAAAGACTCAAAGAGTATGAGAAAAAAAGGATTCATAGCCATTTCAGAGCACAACTTATGGAAGAAAGAAATGCAAATCAAAATTTGTTCTACGGGTTGTACGATACAAGATGGGGGCAAAAACAAGTAGTATACGTCATTACTTAAAAAAAAAAAAAAAAAAATCTGCAAAATTTCGAGCTTTAGGCCTAAACGTAGCTGTCTAATATTTTACCAAAAGCAGTTAAAGCTTTAAGAAATCAGACGAAACGTGATAAATAAAAAACATCCATATGAGGAGTTTGTAATACTTTCAGCGACCATTTTTTTTAAATCCATTAAACCGCACCTGGTCTGAAAGACACAACTAACCAAGAATTTCATGAGGTCATTCTATTACAGTTACAAGAATATCTTGACAACAATTAGGCCGTACCCTCATTAAATTGTGCCACTCTGAATTCAGGTTATTTTTGACTGATGAAAGGATGTCATTTATTGTCCATTAAATTCCACCTGCCACCCAATTATGCCACATATTAAATATCACGGTGAGGCCAAGTAATTTGACAAGTGGCGCACACTGCACGCAAATTTCTGTAGAAATTAATAACATTTTAAAACCTTGAGGGTAAAAAATGACATGTCTACAAAAATCGACATGGCTAATAGCTCATGACAGCCAGCTGGCGCTTTGGAATAGTAGAGAAGAAAAAAACGCTTTCAAGGCGTTTGGCCAGTATTGCACCATTAACGGCCACATGTTCAATAATTGAAGCTGAACATGAATAGAAGGAAGATGATGACATTCGTTTTGTACATGTAAATATGAAGAGCGATTTTTAATGTCGTTGTGACCTTGATGACGGTAACGTGTGCTTTCAAGTGGAGGCAGACTAATTGAAAAAGCGGGAAAGCTCGGCCACAGACCACTAAATTAATGTGGGATTTTTTGAAGTGCAATCAAAAATGCTTTCAAAATTCAATAATGCTTCCACTTTTTGTACAGGGTTTCATTAAACCCCACGAAACTCATATTGTCTAGTGATTACAAAATAAATGATTAAAGTTATCCTTCAAGGCCTAACTAAATTGCTCTTAAAAGTGAACACAATGACCATGTTTAGCAATGCACGCTGACAGATTTATAGCACAACTGATCTGCATCCTTGGGTTAATATGGACCGTGATCTACCGAAGTGTTCTTAAAATACAATCACATTCAGGGAAGGTATATGGGCATTTCCACACTAATGGGGCACAATGGACTGCAAATTTGGGATTTGAAAGGGGGACGCTGGAGGGTACTGCAAAGCAACATATTAAGTTCAGTTGTTTCCTGTCCAGGTACCCCTGAGGCAGCAATGATCACGTGTAAAACAATACAGAGAAACTTTCCTTGAACTTAACAAATTACAGGGGTCAAATAATCACGCACATATAAGTAACATGCATGGACTGAAATTTTGCTATAAATTGAACGAACACTAATTATCAGTGCATGAATTTTATTTTTAAGTTGAGAAGGCAAAAAACCAAGATGAGAGTCTCAACAGAGCATTCTGGTCAGTTCTGGTTCATTTACTTTATTTCGTTGGAATTTAGTAACACCTAATGTAACAATTGGACAGTGTTTGGTTAAACAAGGAACAGCATGATAGCAAGGGAATGGCTGCCACTTTGCCAACAGTGTTTCAAATTCTATATGTTGGTAGAGTTCAATATTTCAAAATACACTGTACCACAGTAGATACTGATATTAAGAGCCAGTATGACACAGAAACAAGGTTTACGCTCAGTGGGAATTGTGTCAAAACACCAGCTTTTTTCAGTTTGCCAGACCCTAGAGAAATCTTGGCGTGATTTCAACCTCCAAAGCAGAGCGATCATCCACAATTCTAACAAATGCTCTGGAAGGTATCTACTAGCACAAACAATCAATGACGCACATCACTACAGTCCTACAAAATTGTGCAATGAAAGGCATGGTATCAAATGTCTCGTCGCGAACAACTTGCCAAGCTGATCCCTGATAGGGAAAACTTACTGATGAGGTAAAGACTGCCCTCGCGTGACAATGGGCAACAGTTAGAAATAGTCAGCCTAATGAGGGCAGCAGACTCAAATTATGGACAAGTGTAATAATGTTATTATCCTAATGAGGGCGCCAGACTCAATTATGGATAAAGAAAAGTACAATGCCGTGTCTGATTCACTTGGCACGGCCGGTGTGGAAGGTAATTCTGTCCCCCGGTAAAACTGTCCAGGGGGACAGAATAACCTGGATAAAAGTGTCCTCCCCGGCCTGTTAATTCTGTCCCCCTCCAGGTAATTCTGTCCCCCCAGGTTTTTTGTCCCCCTCTTTTAAAACCCAGAAGGCCAGTTCTCTTTATTGTTTTTATGAATTCACTCTACAAGGTATACATTTTGGACTTATAGTCTGCCTTTCATGAATATAAAATTTTATAATTCGGTCTAATTAGATGATTATGTGAACAATGTTTCAATTTAGTGTACGGTGAAATCTATCGCGATTCTACCGCGATAGGTGGGTCAATACGGTGGCGATGCATGGCGATGGCCCTCCTCTCATGGATACAACGCCTACTTGGATTGGTCTGTGTTCCCATCATGATGCGTAACAAAATTTCCTATTGGATGAATTTCCATTGTGGAGGGAGACGCATATGTACACATGTGATAATCAAAGTGCCACATATCTTGCAGCATGTACTGGCGCGACGCGACTCGCTGCTGTTCTACACTGCATGGGGACACATTTACCAGGAAGGTACTTTCACTGTTGGGCAGGGGTACATTTGTACCTGGAGGGGGACAAATCTACCTAGGTAAAAGTGTCTCCCCTGACACATTTACTGGGTCACGAGCCGGTAAATGTGTCCGGGGGGACACATTTACCAGGGGGGACAGAATTACACCAGCAATAACACACAAGTCTATAGGAAGCCACTTGCAGCCACTAGCCAGTGGCTTCCATAGGTGCATATGTTAATTCCGGCATTGCCAAGTGAGTTAGACACGGCCTAACAACAATCATGACTTACCCCATCTGGTCTCTTGAGGGCGACACACGCAAAGTGCAGGTCATCCAACTTGGATTCATGGAAGTACCAAGTGGCGTCCAATTTGCCATTAAGATGGAACTTTGTGTCTGTAGTGACCACTCCCTTCTGTAGCACCTTGGTGTTTGGGTGAAATTCTATGGTCTGCAGGTCGAGGCCCAAACCAATCCCTATCGCCTTAATGTAGCTCTCCTTCAAACACTGGGATAATACAAAATAAAATAGAGGCAAGTTGGCAAACCCCTTTATCGATCTCACAAAGGGGGTGAAAATAAGGGAAGTGTGATTGCAGATAACTATAATAACAATGATTCACATATGTAGGACTTTTTATAACACACGAAACAAGTACCTGCCTGCCTTGCGCTTCGATTATCCAAATTATGGTAAAATGGCTTGCTCGAGGACATAATAATGATATTCTACATTAGGAAGAGACTCACATTAACTTCTCAGCAATGCATGCTAGTGATTGTCCTCTGTAATTCAAGTATCTTCCCCTTTTCCCTCCTTTGGTTTTCCATCAACTGCAATTAGGCCCAAAAAAAAAAGTTCTGCTTCCGGTTTCCCTACCTACCCTATTCTGACAGCCCCTACCCTAATTTTTTTATGGGAAAAATGAGAAGAAAAAAAAACACCCAAAACCATCAATTTCTACCTTTTACCCTTGACTACAGGCCGACGCCTCCATATGATGGTACACACAAAACAAAAAAATTGGCCCAAAAAAAAAACCCTTACTCTATTACTGGTGGAGATGCCATGCCATGATTCAACGTCATAAAAGAAGAATTTGATCTTACCCAGAATCTGTAGAACATCTCCAGCTGTTTCCATTCTGTGTCCTCTGCTCGTATGACCTCCCATTCATGAGGAGTCAACTGCCTCGTCATCAGACGGAAAAACTCAGGAATACTGGGCGTTCCTGAAATTAAAAAAAAATCCAAGAAATTCTGATGAAAAACAGTTGAGGCTTTAAAGAAAAGCATTCCCGAACGGAAATTGCCTTAATGGCAATCAAATCATTAAAACAAGAAGTTTGTACAAGTAGCCCCTCAAGGCCCACTCGAATACACAACTGGTTTGAGTACATGAAAATAAGTCCATCAATACATTATGTGGGGCCCACTACATAATTTACTACGTAAGTTCAAAAGAATCATGATTTCATTTGAGTGTGCCCAAGCCCCATGGTGTCTTATTACAGTTGCTGGGCATACAGTGGCTATCTACCTTTGTCGCCGTGAAAAGGTAGGGGAGGACAAATACTTGTGCAGAGAGTCCATGGGCCTCACCTCTACTCTCAACCTTCATGACGTCCACCCCACAAAGCCACTCAGGTTCAGCGGCCAACACTGTGTAGTCTCCAGCATGCGATGCATTGAAGTTGAAATTGGGGAAGAAATCAGGATCTGCGATGTTCTCATTAGCTAGGTAGGGCTTGCCTCTGTCAGTCCTAACAAGGCTGATCTCTTTCCAGGGGTACGATAAGGACTCCGCAACTACTTTTCGGATGAGCAGTCTTCCTGCCTAGATGAAGACAAAGGATTGGGGAGAAAAGTCAACTATACTTATTGCAAACGAATATGAGTGCAAGAACTTTTGTTGAACCGTATGCAGATAACGACATATTGGCACAGGTTAGAAGATGTCTTCAAGGCATTCAAATGAAGACACTTTTTTAAAATTAACTAGGCCTATGAAATGTCTTTCAACCACTTTTCCAATCACAAAGCACTTAGTTGTCACGAAATTTTCAAAAGTATATTTGAAATGTCCCTCAGCAATCAATCTCCTCCCCCCCATATAGATATTTTATCCTCTCCTATTAATTATGGAGGTTTAAGTTGTTGGAAATAAATAAATCATAAACAGGCCCTATTTGCAAAACGACTGACATGTTGTGTTAATTCGTACTTGGCAAGTGCTGCATTCTTTCCAATCCAAATAATATCTTACCATGGAGGCCTTGCCATCCTTCTTGAAGACAAATTTACCAATCTTGTCCTTTTCTTCTTGCTGTATACACCTAGATGCCAGGGTCCATTCTGCCTGAGTGGGTTTCCATGATCCAAAACGAAAGGCCCAACGTACACTCCCCATCATACACACAGCAAACACTAACACGGTACAACCCTAGAAAGAAAGTAACCAAAACTAGTTCAAATTCAACTGTTCTACAAAAGTACCCTCATTTTATCTACTTTACTTCAGAGATAGATATGATTAGTAGCATACTCGTTCATCATTTACAACAAAATAAACACACACACAATGCATATGACACATATAGGCGCAAAGTTGGCACTCCATGCGTCATTGCATGCACTGTCTGCAGTCTCGTTCTGTTGAAGCAATAATAGCATGGAGGAATAATTAAAAACAAACAACGATTGACATGACACACTAATACTTACCACTACAAAATTTAACAAAGGATGTAATATAGTTTCAAACTTCTGAGCCGGAACTTCAAGAAAAACACGTCATTGGCTTTATCCAAGATCCGGGTCAACTGTCTTGTCGTCTGCTAGCTGCTCGGCTCATGCTCGGTCGTTTTACATTTTGCTTACAAAGGGCGCCACCTATTGACCGATAAAAACACAGCTGACGGCGGTGGAGAAGGGCGCCACCACTACTCAAATCAATACGAGGGGAAACGAGATAAACATTAAATTTTCATTGCAAATAACGCGAGGTTTTAGGGTGCTCAAATCTTGAAGGATCGGCAAATTGTGACAATTCAAGGAATTAATCATGTCATCTTTCTTTCACGATGTGTCGATGTCGCACACACAAATTTGCAATCATTGATAAGTCTTGCTCATGTAACAAATCTTGGAGCTCTAGTTACATTCATATATAGGATGTTTTTGTTCTTTTATATTTAAGGCTTTATTTTAGTACAACAGTTTAGTACAATACATACATTTAATCCGAAGGATCATCAGGTCAATGGCTTTGCGAATTATTCATTCTCAAAAAGGCTGACAGTGGTATCGATCCTTGATTTATCGATTAAGTCGAGGGCGGGAACGGCACACCTGTGTGTAAGTGTGATCTTTTGGCTGCATCACTCACCATTGCAGAAAAGTGTCACAGAACAAACGCTGACATTTACAGGATCAATACATAACCTTTCATGTATTTTTGTCCCCTTCATCTGGCATGTGGTTTCTGAGGATGCACTCTTTTCATTGTTATTGTTTATTACCATGGAGACGAACAGGGCGACAAAGTGCTATACTATAGGTCATGCTAAAACACAATCTTATCGTTTAAACCCAGAACGACACTGAAATTCATTCCTGATATTTGTTCATCAACCTGTACAAACACGGGGCGTGTTTCTCCTCAACATGTTGTCGTCAGTTTGTAGAAATTAAACACTCTGTTTTATTACAGTACTGCCTTTATAATAGAAAGGGGACCATTTCCCCGGTTGTGGAGGGGGGGGGGGGTAACATGATCAATGAAGGGTAAGAGTCACTGCCACTGATCACATCAAGAGCGCCCTCAATGGTTTCAGAATCAAACGCGGATGATCAAGAAAATGATGATGACTGTAGGTGTCTAGAATGTAAATTATGGAATGAGTAACCGTCTTCATGTCGGCCAAACTAGAATTTCATCCAATAAATGTGAAAAGTCAGGTTTGCAAATTCAAATTATTTTTTGTTTTGTTTTACAGAAAACTATTTTGAGCCGAGATGGGAAAATAGTTGTTGACGAAGCAATAGATGAGGTAGAACAATTATTAACACAGTCAATTCCCATTCGACCGTGCAATACGAAAAGCCCCCATGTCAAATCCGCACTCTCATATAATCACATTATTTTCTATTTCATTAAAAAACGGCGACAAGGCAAGCCGCGCTGGCACACACAGCGGGCTTTTCTCTCGCAGCTGAGCCCCGGCGATTCGGTTGATTTCCCCTCGCTAACCCTCATCCGAGCTCCGTAGATACAACCGTCATCTACCCGCCAAGGGCAAACATCGAATACAATCCTTGAAACAAACACAAAAAAGAAGGAACTATTGGGTGTTATAAATTAGACAGCCGGAAGTGACGTCATGGGCTTCTTAGCCGCTTCCTTCGTAACTTCCGTCTATCCTCCGTGATCTACCGCAATCGCTAGCTGGCTAATAATTCTACAATGCCCCAGGGACACGCCGTTATTACGGTTTTGTTCCGTAGGTACGGGTTATGTTTTAGGTTCTAGAAACCGTTTGGTACACTGCAAACAAATGGTCAATTTTGCCCAACTTTTAACCCAACGTTTGTACAATAGTAAACATCCGTCATCTTTCGAGCGAAAAATGCCCAGCGTCCGTTGGGCAAACGCGTTTACCTAAAATCTGAGTAAAATAGCAGACGGAACAGTTGGGTTTTTTTTAATCATTCATTAGTTGGGAAAATGTAAAGAACCAATTGTTGGTAAGCCATTAATCAAAAAATGGTCAAATTTTTGACAAGTTTCGCTTTTTAATATTTTCTTAATTATTGGTTACTAAGAAGAGTCACAGGTTGGGTACTACATGTATATTGCATAGATTTGCTCAATTTTGTTGACTAATGGTTGATGTTTGCGGAATGCCTAAATAAGTGATACATGTACCTTTAAAGCGAGGCGTGTTTTTTTTCTCAATATTTTATTACAAACATCATCATCAAACAGCAAACTTTTGAACACTGTTAAACTTAAAACTTTGAAGCAAAGCGTTAATCACACTACATTAGTTTTGAAGTGATCTTTTTAAAATACGATTTTGAAAGAGATGATTAAAATTGAAACTGCAAATTTTCCCTTGATCAACTGACAATAATACGTTGATCATAATGACTTGGTGTTCAATTAATTCAGAATTAAATATAACTCGACTCCAGACAACATGTTAAAAAAACATTTGTTGATGACTTGGTTTTCAATTACTACATAATTAAATATAACTCAAATCAAGACAGCATGCTGTAAAACATATATGTTGATGGCTTGTTGTTCAATTATTTCAGAATTAAATATAACTCGAGTCCAGACAACATGTTCAAAAAATGTATGATGATGACTTGGTTTTCAATTACTACATAATTAAATCTAACTCAAATCAAGACAGCATGCTCTAAAAAATAATATATATGTTGATGACTTGGTTTTCAATTATAGTTAATTAACTCACGAACAGCATGGTCTAAAAATATATATATGTTGATGACTTGGTGTTTAACTACTTCATAATTAAAAAGGACTCGATTTCCGACAACATGTTCAAAAATTTTATGTTAACTAACGAAGATTGTAATTTCATAGGAACTGGTTTTGTGATTGTATTCATTCTAGTTTATCCTGGGAGGGGGTGTAACCCCCCCCCCCCCTCCCACTTGTAAATCAGCAACTGTACATTCGCCATGGTACAGCTTTCGTGACCTTTCGTATTGCGGATGAATACCAGGCTTGGAGTCAGTCGAGTGTATCAGTTATAGAGAATGGACGATGATATGGTGTACTATAAAGGACACCTATCTGTTATCGTCGTGCGTGTGGGGAGCTCCGTCGACGGTGCCTGTGAGCAGGTCCGTCGTGTTTGTGGAGAGGTCCGTCGTGTTTGTGGAGAGGTCCGTCGTGTTTGTGAGCAGAGCGTCGTGCGTGTGGGGAGCTCCGTCGTGCCTGTGAGAAGGTCCGTCGTGTTTGTGAGTAAAACCGTCGTGCCTGTGAGTAAAGTTTTACTCACAGGCACGACGGTTTTACTCACAAACACGACGGACCTCCCCACACGCACGACGGACCTGCTCACAGGCACGACGGAGCTCCCCACACGCACGACGCACTGCTCACAAACACGACGGAGCGCTCCACACGCACGACGATAACAGATAAGTGTCCTTTATAGAACACCATACGATGAACTTTAGATGCGAGGTAAGAATGGACGACGCCAAATTCTTGCACGAATCTTTACAGTTCCGAGTTACTTTTTTTTCAAAACAACAAAGGTTTATTCAAATGAGTGCCACTGCATCTGACCCCACTCTCCATGTTTTTTGAAAAAGTGTAGACTCGTAAAATTACTCATGCGTACATAGCGAGGTTCATGTCTCACTGCCAAAAGCAAGTCCACTTAGTAAGTCATGTCTGATAGCGACACCTTCAAATCTCCTAGCTCGTCAAGTGATACAGAAATATGTGCTCTGTATTGGAGTATGGCCAAGTTTGATGTATGATCTTAATCAAGATACCCAACAACAACAAAATGATGTGTATATTTTGATTCCCATTATATTGTTTCACTTTTGATTATTTGAGTTATTATCAATTTTGATGTATTTTGTTAAACAACCTCTTACATGGCGATTACAAAATCTTACTCAATTACAGTATGGTATTTGTTCGCAACATTATCGCTTTTTAATTTATATTACCCCATTTCCGCAATTCAATAATCGTAAATTTACAAACATTCCGGAACCCACGCCCACGGTATCCGTCACGGTGGTTCGGTACGAATCTATACTAAACTGTAGAATGATCCACAGTAAACTTTACAGGCTAATGATTTGTGAACAATCTACACTTTTAACAATAGTGTGACGTCACATAAAAGGTTTAATAGAGAGAGAGAAAAATGACAAACTGTTGTTTTCATGACTTTTTTAGGATAACAACCCAAGGACGAAAGGTTAAAATGTGGCCCGGCTTGTTGTCTGGCATGCGCTTTCAGCTTTCAGCTCCACTAAAGCGAACTGAATCCCATTCTTGCCATGTGATCGATCGCTACTAATATCACGCGTGTAGCGGAGATACACAGTTTTCCCCATTGCCATAACCGTGTGGTCTTGATCTACCACTAGACTCAGCTCGTCACACACACACGCTGCCGCTGCGGAGCTAGCATCCTGCGTTTCAATAAAAACGTCAAAAGTGGGGCGTGCATTTTGCCAAGTTCACAATATTACGGTGGGAGACGCGCTTGTACTCGACTGTTCACGACTATACTATACCGAGACATTTCACTTCGCTGCGATCGGTGCGATCATTCAGAGGGACGGAATCAATCGGTTAACCGTTCAAGACTCGAGTATCGTCCCGCGTGGCCGGCTGACTTGTATCACTATCGCCCGGAGTGCAGTCTAACTCATCCAAAAGTCTCCCCCCGCTTCTTTTCGAGTGTTGTGAATAAACACTTCAACTTCACCGTCAATGATCTATTCCTACGTTTGGTGGAGCTGGCAGTGATAGCTTAGGCATTCTTGACTTGTGGAAAGCAGGGCTGGTATAAAGCCCACAGGGTCTCGAGTGCCACCGAATCCACATCGAGCAAACCATTCGCTTCGGATTTAATGTAACAGCTTGATCAGCATCTCAAAAAGGTGAGTGTAATTTTTCAACCGTTATAATTATAGTACTAGTGTCCTTTTATTTTTACAGCAGTAAGGTTACAACGCGACCGGTTTGTACTCATCTTTAATCTTTAATGGCGTTCTAACAAAAGATGGAATTTGTAGAAATCGATATAAAATATCGAGCCCTGCGTTTATAGCTGATGATGGCATGTACGGAAGTTCTTCTTGTTCTTAATACTAGAAAGGAAGTAGAGTTATTTACACAGAAAGGATCTTGTTCCGGGAGGTATCCATTTATTCACTAATTGTGTAACTGTTTTCTCACGGTTTCTCTGTCTTATAATGCACATGACTCTTGAAAAATTGTCGTTACCTGTGTTTTTTTAATGAACCTTTGAGTTGCTGATTCTGAATGTTGCGCCTGTGTTCTATTTTTGAAACCAAACTACTTATACATGTATGATTTAATATTCTTCTGTTGGCATGGCAACCGATCATCTGCTTCTTTGGTATTTCTATTTTACAGCTGAATTGAATATTGCCATTAAAATGTTCATAAATTAAAAACAGAAACATTGAAACTGCGGCTTAGTTTAAAAAAGAAGGCGGCGATGTGGGGAGGGGTAAACTGAAGAGGAGGGGGTATAATAGGGTCTGAGCCGCGTATTATTTGTACTTCTTGAAGGATACGATTGTGAATCTATAATAGAAATCAATGCTGTTTATGTGTACGTAAACATGTTTATCTAATATTGCACTTTTTTCTCAGAATATTTCCATTCTGTTTGGCCTTGAACTTGTCCTGTATTTTTCTTTTCAAAAGGAAACAGTCCGTGGCTAAATCCGAATTGAGGAAATCTAAAATGTTGTTAGTCTTCCAAAGCTTTGATATTTCCGGTTAAAACGTGATTCCCGTACCGCTCCGGTAATTTGCGGCAAAGGCGATGCATGCATGCTCCGTGGGCGTTTTATTAAACAAAGGAACATTTGAATTTGAAGCGATTTTCGAATTGTGAAACGGAACTGGGAAACTAACAAGGATGTACAAAAGGGAAATAACGAAAAGCTTCACAATGGTACAGTAGAAGCCGATCGGGAATAAAAGAATGTTATGATTTGGTAGAGGATTTTAGGCCCACGGCAAAACCTCTGGGAGGTTTAGGAAATAATAACCCGTCTCGGTATGGAGTCCAACTATAATCATTCCTCAGGTCATGAGGTCGGCTAAATTATGGCTTATATATCACCGCAGCAATTTAGTAAATTTGGGCTAAAATCCGGAAATGATTTGGCAGTTGAGTAAAACCACCTGACAATAGAAGGACAACTTTCTTAAGTAAAGGGGGACATTATAAGCATCATGACAACCATGACATTGCGAACTATACATGCACGGCATGTCAGGCGCAGAAAAATAAACGCACCAGCCAGCATTGATTGATGCAACAGGTGAAAAAACAACTTCCAAATATGAAATTAGATCAAGGTTTTGTTTTGTTTTGTGGGTTTTTTTTTTTTTTTGATGGAAGTAAGAAGGAAATCTAAGTTGGAGACTTGACCTTTCACTTGTACTAGGGTTCGTATTTGACCGGGACTCCTCCAGGGACTTTACTGGCATAGATGGGCCCCGAGTCAACCTTGACCACCCGCGGTCGAACGTCAACAGCCTGGTAGGACTCCCGAGTATTTTTGCCTGATTTGATTTATACTCAAGGCTTTTGGTATCAACTCGTGAATTTCATCTGTCTACAGAGTTTCTGGGTTTGTTGCACCCAGTGACGGATCCTACACACCACAACTCGAATAAAATCATGATCCAAATTCACAAGTTATTTATTGCAGCCATAACGAGTTGTTTTCAGTAAAGCACATTTTGTGTGCAACGATGTGTGAAAAGTAATCTTGGAAGTTTGTTATCACGATATTGCTTTGATTATTTTTTACATCTTACATTTTTTTCTGGCAGAAAATGTGAATCTCAGCCCAAGAATAATATCAGCATCGTGTTGTTTATTTCGCTGACATTATGCACAATGCAAAATGAAATTGAATAATAATAGAATTCATGTACAAGTAATTATTTTTTATAGGAATCCACACAATGCTCACTACAGCCTTGGGTGTTTGAAGTTTTCCGTCTAATCTGAATAATGAGAACTCGATATTGTACGCCTGTTGGCTTCAGTTACTATGGAGACCCTTTTAAGACTTGGAACCAAAAATAATGTCCAAAATTTAATAAGTGCTACGCGACTGTCTGTGTTCATGTTTTGTCTTTACAATGATATGATTATCGTTGCGCTGCTTGCCTTGCCCGATACGTAAACAGGAGAGCAAAGTTCCATTACATTGGTGTTCGATCACCATGGCAACGCATTCCTTTTTTACAAAACGGGTTTCATGTGTCGTGGTTTGCGCGTTGTATACTATTTGGCGCCATATTGGTTGCCATACATGAAAAGGAGTGCACTGATCAAAAAGACAAGAAACATAAACAAAACGTTCACGCCAAGAGTTATGTTGTTTTATTTTATTTTTTACTTGGGGGTAATTATTATAATTTTTATTTTTAGGTATTTTTTCTTCAATATATTTTTTGGATGATGAATATTTCTCTAAGATAACAGTAGTCACAAAATTATCCTAACATCAAAACACAGAATACAATATATCAAAACACTTGAAACGGTATTGACAAAAATGTTGAAAAGATCCATCAAAATAGATCCTCTCATTTCTTTCCCACTCTTTAAACAAAATTCCACTGATAAGGTAAATGTCAAAATAATAATTGTATAAATTATTATGATGCTGATAGGCAAGTTATATTCGAAGCAACCTTGGCAATGGTGTGCAAACTCTCCACCCGCGGAGTGCTATGTCACACTTCATGAAAATATATAGGCCCGTATTATCCAACAGCCCAGTCCAGTGGAAAAATCCATTCACGCTGCATTATTTATACCATGTTACCCTCTAAAAGAGACCTATTTTTTCCCTTGCTCAATAAAAAACTTGTGCATAATTAATTTGTGTAGCATAGAACTCTGATGTCAAATAAAATCGAATGCATGAATGGTAAAATTAAATGCACGTGGGAGGCTAGGGTGTCAAACGATAATTGATTTTTTTCTCCTGCTCGTATGAGTTGCACTATTTTGAAGAAATAACATTAGTAACGTGGACTGTAGTTTGTATTCTGCTATTTAAGAATACATGGTTAAGGTTTCTGTATGAAATGTTAATGGTTGCTAATTCCTGAAGCGTTCCAGTACATAATTGACGCAGTATAGGAGTGGAATGACTCAACAATGCACTTTCAGCAAATGTCATATGAATTCAATGTATCGCTCGAGTTGAGCGGGGAACATTTACCTATACCAAATCGTTACCGCTTGAAACAATCGGATTGTTTGGGTTGGGGAACGTGGTTCAACTGGTTTTTTTTTTCACCGCTCAAGTTAAGCTTTCCACTAATTCATTGAATTTATTTCTTCAGACAAATGAAGAAAAAAAGTTTATGAATACAAATTGCAGGCACGTCGATCCACCGTCCCGTTGTAATATGACTGCAAAGGACAAAACAAACTACATGACATTTCTTTGATCATGCGACAGCAAATATAAACGTCAGTAACACGACAATACACGGGAAATGTCAAGTGTACTACATTTAACAACGATGACATTTTTTAAATGTTAAATAATTCAAATTTTCTTTGCAAATCATAATTTTTTTACTCCAAACAGTTTTTATTTGCTTGAGTCCGGGGAAAACTACTTTTGATTTCTTTCTATAGCGTTCCGTTAATTGGCAGAGAGGCATATAATGAAATTACCCAAGGAACGAATGCTTGGTGTGGAAGCTCTATTTTTAAACGGACCGCTTGCATTTTGCGCCGATCTCAAACACAACAAGAATCAACCGTCGGTTCTCCTCGCTTTGTTGGCGTCAGATTAAATTTGGGCGCGAAAAGAAGAGAGAAATTGATCAGGTTATGGTCTGTGTCAGGTGTAATATCGTCAGATGGAGGATGCATCGTTGTACATACTTGCACCCGGGCTGAGCTGGTTTGGAGCAAACCGCATCATTTTGATGTTTACCGTGGTTTATGCAAGTGCCAAGTCGAACCTAATCCAAACATGTCATACGAACATGTCACTTGACAGCAGGCATGCTCTTATGAACAACATCAGTGATATATTTGCAGCTGAAATGAATTAAAGCATTCGTATTTAATTTTCGGAAAGAGCCAAAGGCAGTACTATTAAACGAATGCTTTGTGTGGAGTATATAGAGCAAAATCAAATGAAACTAGAGGTTCGCGTTTGTTGTTACAAACGCAGAGTGGTCGGGCAGGCAATTTCTTCATTAAACACTGTCGAGTTGAGTTATGAATATGTTTATGTAAGAACAAAGGATCACGAAATTAAATCCTTTCCAGTACAATCAATTATTTGGTTTTAAAAAATGCATCTTTAACGGTGTGATAAATTTTAGTAAACATTCTGTGTACACATACAAGTTATTTCTGGCTAACGTCTTCATTTTGAATTCACCTTTGACCTTCCGGTAGACCCGGAAGTAAAGGTCAAGCGAGTTCACGTACACGAAAAGAAATGTTTATCAATTTGATCGCTGTTTACTCTTAGACTATATGAACTTTGTTGCTGACTCGGCAGACATAGGCCTACATAAAACACGGAAGACATGGTCTAGTTTTTTTATGTGTCTGGAGCTGCACATCAAAAAATATGGCAGCTCAAAAATAAAAACCGTATCGGTAGACTTCAGTATGGAGTTTGGAGTTTTATGCAACATACGCTTAACGCCTAAAAATAAATGAATTTTTAATGTTTTTCTTTGTCTTTGCATGGGCTAATAAAAGTCTGCTCCATAACGAAAGAATGGCACGAAAGAGTAATTGTCTGCATTTAAGGTATGAGAGGAAAACTAGCGAGGGACGATTCCCAAAAACTTCTCTCACCAGATATTGAAAGACCAATGTTGGCTCTGATCAAATCCA